TGTGCACACACACACACACATACACATACGCATTACCTCTGGAGACTTTGGAGACCTACAAAGTCTTGGCACTATGTCTCTTTCAAACACAGTCCAGTAGCCAAAAATCACCTGCAAGTTATTCTAGACTTTATTTCCTTCCCTCCAAGATCATCAGGCAGGATGCATAGTTCATCAGGCTACAGGCCCTGCCCTGAGCCCTCTCCCCCTCTCCCCTTCTCTGCTGCCCCATCCCTGCCTCTTCTGATTCTGCAGGGTTCAAGGCCAGGAGCAGAGCAGGTCAGAACACAGCTACACGCAGGCGCGCAGACTATGGATTGGGGTGTGGGTGGGTCTCAGGCACTTCCCTGCTCTCAAAGGAGCACCTCCAGGGAGGCCATCTGGTGCTCTCTCCAGCCCCTCAAATTCCCAACACCAGGGTTGCAAGGCCCAGTATCTTTTCACCTCGTTAGCTGGAGAACCGCTTCTTTAAGCAAAAGATGGCACGGACCCCCAACATAAGACAGTTCAAAGCTGAGCAGCTCTCCCCATCATGCAAGTAACCTGCGTGCCGCCACGGGGAACAGCACACATCCTACCTGGACTCCCACAGGACAACTGAGGCAACCGAGAAGGAGGCTGGGGAGGGGAGGGACAGCTTGAGGGCTCACTGGAGGTCAGCAGGGAGGTGGACTGCATCACCCAATGGCCAGCACTGGCTCAGCCTGCTCAGTGAGGTGCCCGAAGGAGGCCCACCAGCTCTGCCAGCACCCTGCCTCTGCACCTCAGTTTTCAGCGGATAGGTTTGTGCAATGAAATACTTCACAGAAATCAAGAAACATGAGCGAACAATGGACACCACCGCACGGATGAGTCTCAGAGAGTGTGGAGCAAAAGAAGCCAGACGCAAAGGTTGACATTTACATGCAATGCTAGAACGATGAATCTATGATGGCAGAGATGAGAAAAGCAGTTAGCTTTGGCAGGTGCCCACGGAGGAGGCTATGCAGTGGAACTTTCTGGGCCCTGGAGGTGTTGCATAGTTAGATATGGGTGGTGGTAGTTACATGGGTTTCTATGAATGTAAAAACTCCTGGTGTGGTAGACCCAAGCTCTGGGCACCTCATGCATGCCATGCAGCAGCTCGATCTGTGACAGCCAGTCCTGTGTTCCAGGGTGTGGCTGCAAGCACTGACTCAGTGAATGCCGAACCTCTGCTCCTAAGGGAAATAGAGGGCCAGGTTCCTATGAGCCTCTGCTCCAGCCTTTTCAGCAACCAATCAGTACACAATAGAGTTATTTATGTGTTTCTCTTAATATACGTCACTAAACTCCCAGCCAAGAGCACTACAACTCATGCCTGTTCAGAGCCTGTCCAACACACATATTTTCTCCATAGGACGCATCACCTCAAAAGCAAGTATTGATCTTATTTTATTTCATTTTCAAGAGATGCAGACTGTTCTTAAGCAAGTACTGGTTTTAGGTTTACAAATACATTTTAGCGAGTAGGCAAATTTCCAAGTACAGAATCTGCAAATAATGAGATTCTACTGTATGTGTGTGCAATATTCAAATGAAGAGGACAGAGCTTCCTGCCTGACACAAGCCCCTGACTGACCACCCCACCCACCATCCCATCTAAGAGCAGCAGCCTGGTCCCACCTCCTGCCTCCCCTCCTCAGACCAGGGATAAGCCCTGACCATTGTCTACATCCTGCAGCCAGACACAGACAGGCTGACTCAGGTGCTCTTGGAGTTTGAACTGAGAAATACAGGAGAAGCTTGCAAAATACTGAAAGCCTCCACAGGGGGCTGCTGAAGCCCCAGCAGGCAAAGCTGCCAACTACAGAGCAAAAAGCTGAAGGAGGGGTAGGGGAGGAAGGACCTGGCTGGAGGTGACTGGGGATGGTCGTGTCCTTGTCAGCAAGCACAGAGCAGAACAGCTGCCCAAGGTGCCACAGCTGGACAGGTGGGTGGGTGGATGGGTGGATGAAAGGGTGGGTGGTGGGTGGATGGTTGGATGAATGGGTGGGTAGGTGGGGGAATGGGTGGATGAGTGGATGATGGGTGGGTAGGTGGATGGGTGGATGGGTAGGTGGATGGATGTGTGGGTGGATAGGTGGGTGGGTGGATGGATGAATGGATGGGCAGATGGATGGATAAGGGTGGGCAGATGGGTGGATGAATGGGTGGGCAGGTAGGTGAATGGGTGGATGAGTAGATGATGGGTGGGTAGGTGGATGGGTAAGTGGATGGTGGGTGGATGGATGGGTGGGTGGGTGGATGGATGAATGAATGGGCAGATGGATGGATGAGGGTGGGTGGATAAGTAGATGAATGGGTGGGTAGGTGGGTGGATGGATGGGTAGGTGGATGGATGGGGGGGGGTGGATAAGTAGATGAA